GTTGGGTGTGGCCAGGCATGCTTTCAAATCCGGCAGTGGGGGCAGAGACCAGAGGATCACTAGGGCTTGCTGGCTACCAGCCTAGCACTAGGTTCAGTGAGAGACCAAGGCAGTAAGGCTCAGAAGGACAGAGCTGAGCAGGATATCTGCCATCCTCCCACAGTCTCAGAGAACATGAGCACATACACCTGCATATACACACATATGCACATATACAGCAATCACATGAAGTTTGCATGCTGTGTACACACACACACACACACTCACACCACACACATACACACACACACACACACACACACACACACACACACACACACACACACTCACACATTCCTGACTGGAACACCTCCCCATTCTCTCCCTTCTTAACTATCCTACAGGTTTCCTATCTAAAACACATTTTCTGCTATAGTGCCCAGGACCTCATTTTCCTGCCTCTCCCTTCTCATCTTATCTTACCTCCCTTTGGTGAGCAATCCTTTAGTTTCAGTGGCCTTGCTCACTCAGGCAGGTCCCTTCCTGTTCTGTATCCCACTGCCTGAAGAGGTAGCCCCGCCCCACATCCCTGGACCCCCACCTGGCTCTCAGTCTGCAGCTTCCAACATGTCACATCTGGAGGCTTTCTGTGAGCATCATCCTCAAGGCAGACTCCTTCCCTGCTTCTCACGCTCAGTCTTCCTTTACTTCATGGCAAGCAGCCCTAGCTGAAATTGTACTCAGGTTTTGCATTTCTTTGTTTGAATGCCTTTATTATAAACTTTCGAGTGCACTTGCTGAAAAGCCAGTTTAAATGGTCTTAAATACTAAGGACTTCTGTCTCTCACAAGCCGGTTGAGCCAGCGGTTTATATGCCCTATCCTTTCATCCCCCTCTCCCCACTATTCACTATTCATCAGTGACACTCTGAGGCTGCTGCTGATGGCACGGGCAAGGTCGCAGTTAGTGGGGGTAGATGCTACCTCTGAAACTGGTCCTGTCATCTGTGGGTGTAGAGATGTTAACCTTTCTGTAGGATGGATAAGAAATCTAAAACCAGGTCTAAAGTCTAATGACAGAATCACACTGGAGTGGGGATGGAGTAGGCACTGGGCAGCCAGCCTCATCCACCCACCCTCTCCCTACAGCTATGGAGGAGAGGATCACGCCTGTGGTTCACTGCTGTGTACTGGCTTCTGATATGTAAGTGGGAGGTCCTGAACATTGGCTGAAATACTAGACAGGAATTAAGGATGCAGTTTAGAAGCCCCAGATCCAGTGAAGGAATACAGAGCTTAGCAAACCAGTCACACAGAGGAGGGAAACAATGTGATCCGAATGGCTTTGTACTCGGTGGCGGATTTAAGCCTGGGATCAGAGACACTGGGATTAGCTTTCGGGCCTCCCTGATTCCTATTCAGTGCTCTGCCAAACACCTTAGGAGAAGAAAGCATGTGCCGCTCAGAGGTGGTTGGGTAACAGTTCTGAGAAAGACACTGGGGTCAGGATGGTGAGTAAGTAGCTTTATTTAAGGTTCATACTATCAGTGAGAGGAGACACTGCCTATAAAGGCTTAAAATGGTTTCTTGAGGAAGGAATAGAGATCAGATATTACAGTGGTTTGTATTCTCTTCGAACTGTGACTCTATCCAACAAAATCTTATCTCCTAGTTGCATTTCTTAAGGAGAATTTAAATAAAATTAAGTTTCCTTTGAGGGGAGAGAATACTCATGAATAAAAAATGAGAAACATTGAATTAAAGGATTAGAGAAGGAAGGGAGACCAATGAGCAATTATGAACTGATAGAGATTGGAAAAGAAACAAAGTTGCAAGATCTCAATATAGGTCCCCACAGACACATGACACTCACATACTTTAGTTACTAAATAGAGCACCGTATATAGTTAGGTATCTTTCAACTACAGGTTCCTCTAAATGGAAGATTTAGAAAATATTTTTTTATAGCATTCTATCCCAGCCTAGAAAATCTACATGCCTTCATTCAAACCAAAAAGAACTGGGCTGGCATGCTTACGAATATGATGATTCCACCAGATGTGCATTTTCAAAAGTGTAACCACTAGAGTCATCACTGCTATGGGAGAAAGCTGGTCCTTCAGAATGTCTTACCTTGTGCCTCAGTCCCTGGTTGCCAACAGAAGCCTGTGGGGCAGGAATTGGATAATTATCTAAGGTTCAGCTCAGTATTCAAGTCAGATCAAGTAATGGAAGGCAGATGGACAGGTTCCAACATTTCCAAAATGTATCAAAAATTGCTCATTAAAGATTATTTGGCAAACAGATGGGCATACACCCTGAGGACTACTGAGTCTGGACCCTGTTGGATATCCGTCTCAACCAGTAAGTTTCCTTCTGTATCAACTGATCTGGAATATTCTGAGCTACTGATGTTGCACAATAAAAGACTGGTTATGGACACAGGCGCCTTGGTGAATGCAAAGACACTGGTAAGCACCATTGGGGTTTCTAGAGAGCCTTCTGTGTGAGCCACAACAGTGCCTGAGGAGCCTAAGGCCCTGACATTGATCATGACAGTG